AGATTGGAGGGGGTTGCCCTTGAAAACAAGACTTCGTGTGGGACCGGATTCCAACCTATATCTAATGATACTGCATGTTACGTCATCCGCGAAGAATGACATTTTAAATAGTTACATTCAAGGACTGTTTTTTCTTTCGTGATCGTAGCATTGTTTATTTTATTGCATGATCATCGTATATCCGTTTTTTTTGGCTAGGCGTACAAAGTGTTATTCAGTTTTATTTCCTTTACGTCAGAAGGCATGCATTAGATTATTCTTTTCCTACGCACGTTTATTCAGTTGTAAGAACTCCATCACAGTGTGACGAGCTTTTGGAGAACTTTCGGAGTTATTACAACTGTAGGAGATTTGGAGTTCTTTTAACCACCGGAGTCAAGATCAGACGTAAGTCACGCTTGTAAATTCAGTAGTTTGTTTTTCCTTCTTACTAGATACTAGAGGCAGATAAAAAAGCCGCTGTGGCAAATGCGAAGCTAAAAGTATTTAAGGAAGCCCTATTAGAACAGGAGTTGGAGAGAGATTCCGAATTGCCATCACTTGAAGTTCCCGGAATAAAAAATGAAGAGCGCACTTCACAATGGGTACATTCTTCTCCCACGCTTAACCCCCAACCCACGGATTATCGATCACGCCCCGGATGTACACAAGAATCGTCAAATACCCTAGAACAGTCAAAGCCTTCATCGCCTTCAGCAGTACCGAAAAGTCAATCTTTCAATCAAGATCTGCCAAATAAGAAAGCGCAACAAGATACTCCCTTTAATAGAGAGCCCGTTATCACATCAACCCCTTAATAGACTTCACCGGAAGCCAGCTAATTGAGACATTGAAATTGCCTAAATGCCACCCTGACGTTTTTTGCGGGGAACCCCACGCTTTTTCACCCGTGGAAAAGAGCGTTTAAGGCCATGATAACGGATGTCCGCGTATCCTCCATCCAAGAGATAAACTACCTGCGTAGTTTTACAAGCGGAGAGCCTCAAAAACTTGTCGACAATTATCAAAAAAGGAAACATCATGACCCCTGTGGGCT